ACTTATATTGGCTATTTGGTGCAAAATTAACCCGAAATCTATTGAAGATATATGGGAGCTATATCTACATCTGATCAGATTATCACCACTTTCATAAGGGTTCGTCCTTGGGCCAAATAAGTATTGATTGCAAAATTTCATCTCAATCGAATAATAAATGCGACCTGCATATTGTTCACAAGAATACATGGACGGGCGGACAGACGGACTGACATGCATAAATCGACTCAGAAAGTGATTCTATGAAGATCCCCAAAAGATACTATGGGTCTAGCTCGCCTCATTTTCCAAGTTACAAACAAATGCACAAAGACATAACAATCTTACTACCATGTGGTGTAGGGTATAAAAAACAGAAAATATGGTGTGTTCGAGGAGCAAACCTTATCCATTATAACCACAAACTTGGAATATCAAATACAAAATTTCAAACAATTTCGGTGAATATTGTACCTAAATGGCGACTATTACCAAATGTCGACCTTACGCGATAATTTACTTAAGATGAGTCAATACTTGTTGAGGGCGTATTACACGTCAAATCATATATGATCTTCCATATGTTTTTAGATTCGATGCTTCTAGTCAGCCTTTATCTTGTCGGCATCATGTCTGATATAATATTTGCATTTTCTTCAGCTTCACGTAGTAACTTCAAATTCAGCCTTCTACAATTTGTAAAGGTTACGCTTACCGAACAGTTGTTTCCATTTTTATCACTTTTGGTGGTCGGTTTTGTTACATCTTCCTCCGCGGTATGGTTTTTCTTTAGGAAGTATCTGGATATAATGCCAATGAAAGAGAGCAGTAGGAAGATACCTTATCAGAACATTGCGGACAATGTTACGAACAATATTCACTAATTGCTAAAATTAAGGCAGAAAAGTCTCAATTTCTTCAAATCTTTTTCGGAAAATTCAAAACTTTAATTTCTTTTTTTTAATTTGTCAAAATCAAAATTAGCCAAGACACAAATCACTATGAGACGAGAACATTTTACTTATTACTAGGGAATTGAATAAAAAGGAAAAATGTCTACATAACAACGTTTTAATTAGAAGATTTTTTGAAAACTACACGAAGAATCTAAAAAAACTCCACATCTCGAAAGTTAGTATCATACAAACACAGTAAGAAAATGTCAAAAGTTGGGCGGGTCCGACTATATAATACTCTACACCACAATGTGTGAAAAAAATGTATATGTATAGGGAATTTATGTGAAGTAGATCATACCAACTATGAAAAACATAACATTGCTGTATGGGCTGATATTACATATATGGTATATATAGATATAGGAGCTACATAAAAACCTGAACCGATCTCTATAAAATTTGCCAGAGGTATTTCCGAGCAGTATTTGATGCCCGGTATCCAATATCATTGTTGTGGAGTGCATATTAGGCATGTCAGGAACTTTAACACCAATATCCGAACCGATTTTCTCCAAATTTGAAGAACATGCCTTTATGCGGAAATCCGTCGGAAGTGTAAAATTCAGTCCATTTGGGCTGATATTAGCCATTTGGTGCACACAAAACCTGAAATCAAAAAAAAAAAAAACAAGTAAGCAAAGGCTACAGTCGAGCGTGGCCGACCGTTGAATACCCTACAACACTATAATAAACTATACAGATTATATAGGCGAGAGACTCGAAAGAATTCCACAAGATATTGTGACAAATAGTAAAAGAAAACCATTAGGTTTCGTTCTCTAATTTTCGAAAAATAACAACTTAAACTAATTTGCTCATTTCCAATTTATTGGTAGATGTTGCACGTAAATGGTCTTCCCAGATCTTGAACCAATATTTCCCAAAGACCTATAATCACTCAGAAGTGGCAAAAGATTAAGATTTATTATTTGTTTTTGACTGAAACGCATCTATATAAGGTACAGACATTTGACTATATTCTTCAACGAAATAGTCAGTTGAATTCTCCAAAACGTCACTGGAATTGACATTATCGTATTTTGTCTACATAAGTTGGCATACTATTTCACACATTGAATATTTTTGGATGTCCATCCAAAACTGCTTGGCTTTTGCAATGTCCGGTAACCCATTCAAATGTACGTGAGGATCGGGCGATAATTACGACCTGCTGACAATTTTGCAGTTTCTCCAATTAAACCCCTAAATATATGGCGATCATCTCCACAAAGAGTAGGCATTTAATCTGACCCTCATCTTATCCCCATGCAAAATTTCGTAAGGATCGGACCATAAATGCGATCTATATATGATATCCTAACTACTTAGTTTTGTTAGTTGTAGAAACATTATCAAATGTTTGATTCAAAATGAAAATATGCCAATATTGAAAAAATTAGAGAAAATTTTACAAAATCAATATTTTCATCTTTAGAGAGATATTTTTATGCGATTTTTTAGACGTTTTTTCTTTCCTGCCAAGAGGCCATTCTAAATTAATGAGAAATGTCGAAATCAGTTCAGCCGTTCTCGACATATAAGAGATCTTTCAAGCATATCTTCTTTGATAGACATATATATGACACATATTTTTCTCTATATCCGATTTGTTTGATGTTAACATCAATGTAAAGATCAGAAGTAACCTTGTCATGGCTTTGTGATATCGCCGGGATTTAAAATATTCGCGGTTTAATGAAACATTTTGAATTTTTTCAACACAAAAGATATGGTCTATTTTACCCGCTAAATATTATCCGATGACCACCCAAATTGGTAGGCTTCTTCCCTGCCTTAAACTCTAGCTACATGCGAAATTCCGCGTCTATTGGTCTATAATTGCGACCTGTATAGCTACTGCAAAATCCGACATTTTTCAGTATTTGGTCCATTTCAACCCCTAAACATTTGGCGATCATCTCCAAAAGAAATAGGCTTCTATTCTGACCCTAACCCCACCTTCGTGCAAAATTTCGTAAGGATCGGAACATAATTGCCACCTGTAGCGTGATTACAAATTAACATGGACAGACGGACAGACGGACGGACATACATAGCTAGATCGACTCAGCTCGGCGAGCTAGGAAGATCCATATATACTTTCCTATATGGGAAACCAATATTTCGAGGTGTTACATAAATTCTGGCCCAATCAAACTTATAATACCCCCAACACATAGTGTTGTAAGGTATAAAAACAAATCGGATGAGACATTAATGGGAGCTATAGCTATATCTGATCCGATTTTCACCGAAATTTGAAACACTTAATTTTAGACTAAATTCCATAGGAAGTGCTAAACTTCAGTCCATATGGCCGTATATTTGTCATTGAAGATATATATGGGAGCTATATCCAAATCTGATCCAAACTCGACAACATTTTAAATATCTATTTCTGAGCTGTATCTGATAACTGGTACAAAATATCATTCTTGTGGAGCACATATTATGAATGTGAGGGACGCTAACAAAAATCGGATGAAACATACATATGGAAGCCATAGCTATATCTGAACCGATTTTCACTGAAATTTGAAGCACATGATTTTAGGCTGAATTCCGTCAGATATCATTCTTGTGGAGGGACTTAAAACCCCAAATCGAATTAAACTTATGTATGGGGGCTATAGCTATATCCGAACCGATTTTCTCCAAATTTGATGTATTTGCTTTTAGACTGTATTCGATCGGATGTGTCCATTTGGGCTGATATTAGCCATTTGGTGCAAAATAAACCTGATATCGGATAAAGATACATATGGGAACTACATCCTAATCTGATCCGATCACGATAAAATTAGTCAGATGTATTTTTGAGCTCCATAAGTTATCTGATACCAAATATCCTCCTGTGAAGTTCATAATACGAATGTGAAGGACTTAAAACCCTAAATCGGATGAAACATGTAAATGGATGAAACATGAACTGATTTTCACCCAATTTGATGTACTTGCTTCTAAACTGAATTCTGTCGGATGTGCAAAAAATTCAGGTCATTTGGACTGATATTGGCCATTTGGTGCACAATTAACCCGAAATCGGTTGAAGTTATATATGGAAGATATATCTAGATTTGAGCCGATTCCAACAGGGTTCACCCTTGGGCCAAACAAATATTGTTTGGAAATTATCATCTCAATCGGATGATAACTGTGACCTGCAATTTGTTCGCAAAAATACATAGACAGACGGACGGCAGATGTCTGACTTGCATAAATCGACTCAGAAAGTGATTTTATGAAGGTCCTCAAAAAGTAAAGTGTTACAAACAAATACCCTTATCACTATGTGGTGTAGGGTATAAAAAGGACTTCCCATCTTGTTATTGAAAAACTCTTTGTACGCTTCCATTGGTATCGTTTTAAGGTATTCTATTTCAACGCTATCTTCCCGTTTCTATTTCGGTTTTCGGAAATTCTCTCATGTCAAGTGTAATGGCAGATTTGTTGTAACTCATCCTTAATTAGGGTCATTAGGAGACTATTAATTGTGGATACAAACCCAAAGCTCTGCCACATCACCGTGTCCTTCAATCGCGTAGCTACTATTTGCACCATATTTTCACAAACACTCTCACACACCAAGCAAACAAAACCAAAACACAATGACACTCATTATTTGGCGCTTATAGCGTTTCTGTTTTTTTCAGTTCAGTTTCTAATGTTTCCTGTTCAGTTTTTTTTTTGTTTTTTCCCTTTTGGGTTCTATTTTTACGTTTGCTTTCATTTTCTTTTCCTTCTACTCTTTGTAAGCATTACTTTTTCTTTTGGTTTGTTCTCTTCTAAACAACGCTACAATAGCAGCAAATCCAAAGACAAACAAAAATGTATCCCGCCTGCACTGTTTTCAAATTTAATTTTTTTGTTTCGGATTTTTTGTACTAACCCAAACACCAACAATCGTTGGCCCAACCTCCACACCCGAATCCCTAACCTACCCCACTGCCCCAAAACAACAACAATCAAACAAACCCAACCCGCCACATATCCCCCCTGTTTTCGTCACAACCCCCTGTCATCATCCTCATGATATCATCATCATAATTGTATGAATTTCAGCAATGGGCAGTCCATACTACAGAGACATGGATGAGCCAACTAGTCCCGCGGGGGCGGGACATCATCGAAGTCGAAGTGCCAGTAGACCCGTAATGTCACATGGTCTGGATTATCCAAGTAAATATTGATTTTCCAATCAAGGAGAACTTTCGAATGAAACAAAAACTAATCAAACTGAAATATTCTCCAAATTATTATTATTTTTTCGAAAGGAGCCCCCCGTTATCAATCCTTGGATAGAGGAGGTCTGGTGGATCATCATGATCGTGAGTTCATACCCATTCGAGAGCCCAGAGATCGTTCGCGTGACCGGTCTCTGGAGCGTGGTTTATACTTGGAAGATGAACTGTATGGACGTTCAGCCAGGCAAAGTCCCAATCCGCTGGGTAAGTTTTTGTTTCACATTTAAGACATTTCTTTTTTAATGCCTCTCCCGAAATCATCCCTCATTAATTTCATTATTCTCTGCTTCTCTTGATCTTTTATGTCTCCACAGGCTTCAATTCGGGCATACCACCTACGGATCGAGCGTATTTGGGCGATTTACAACATCAGAACACAGATCTGCAGAGAGAGCTGGGTCAACTGAAACGCGAACTGGAGTTGACAAATCAAAAACTCGGCAGTTCCATGCACAGTATTAAAACTTTTTGGTCACCCGAACTGAAAAAGGAACGAGCCCTCCGCAAAGAAGAAAGCGCAAAATATAGCTTGATTAATGACCAGCTGAAGCTGTTGAGCACAGAAAATCAGGTGAGTCCAAGAAAAGCTATGTATCAGGATCTTCGACATAAATGTTATTTAGACGAACTTGGATAACAATGTCCCTATGGAATATCGTTTTATTTGGAGAGAAGAATAGATAGAGTGAAGATGTGATAGAAAAAAGCCTAAAGATTTCTTGTTAATTTTGGTTTCGAGTTCTTATCACCCTCTTCCTACTAAGTCAAGTTCTACTTTGGACCCAGCAATTGGGGACTTTTATCCACAGTATAGACCTTCTAAATGTTCTTTTCCATAGCTGAACACCAGGAGTTAATCGCATTCATGGCAGATGACCGAGCTAAGAACATCTGCACACTGCCGGAGGGCGTTATTGGGCCACGGGACCTTTTAAAATGATTGTTATTTTGGATTATTTTATTTATTTATTTATTTATTTATTTTTTTTTTTTTGTTTATTCGTATAGAATATTATATTTTTATCTGGCGAAAAAGATAGAAATAGTGAAGTTGCTACAGAAAGAAACAACGAAATGAGCATTTCTATACCGATTTCGATCTTCTATCACCTTCCCTGTATAAAGTTCCCCAAGACACTGGAACAAGCAGCCCCGAACAGCGCTCCACGTTGGATACTTTCTACGTTTAATTTTCCATAGTAGATCATCTTGAGTTAATCTTTTTCATGGCAATTGGCCGACGTAAGATTCTCTGCTCTACCAAAGATTACCCTTAAACTCCCTTGTCTACCGGAGAGGATATCTAAGCTTCTCCGCAGACCACTCAGCTCTCTAAATAGGCAAAAGAGGGCACTAAGCTTCTCTTTTCGAAGGAATCGGAACACTAAAATCCAGAATTTAGCTGTTAAGATCCTCGAAGAATTGATGGAGCGAAGGTACCTTAAGCTCCTCAGCTCAATGGCAGAGGATATCTAAATGCACTCGATATATGAAGCCCCACTAAAAAGTAGGAGATCTCCACTAAAAAGTAGGAAACTTTCTAGCTCCTCCTCTAACTAATAGGAGACATATTATCGCCTTCACTAAACAAATAAATGGCTTTTGATCTCTTCCACAAGAAAGTATAGACCATTTGAGCTCCTCGACTAAAAGGTAGATGACCCCCAAGCTTCTCTATTAAATTGTAGAGGACATCAACCTCCGAACTGTTCTCAAATGAGTAGAACACCTTTGAGCTCCTCCACTAAAGTGTTGAGGTCCTCTGAGCTCCTCTACAGAAGAGTAGACGTCCCCTGAGCTACTCTACTAAAGAGTAGGTCGTCTACTCCTAAGTCTCTCTACTAAAGAGTAGAGAACCATTAGCTCCTCTACTAAAGAGTAGGGGACCTCTGAGCTCCGATTCTGAAGTGTAGGTGACCTCTGAGCTCCTCTACTAAAGAGTAGGGGGTCTCTGTGCTCCTCTACTAAAGAGTAAGGGACCCCTGAACTCCTCTACTAAAGAGTATGGGACCCCTGAGCTCCTCTACTAAGGGTAGGGGACCTCTGAGCCCCTTTACTAAAGAGTAGGGTACCTCTGGGCTCCTTTATTAAAGTGTATGGGGTCTGTGAGCTCCTATACTAAAGAGTTCATGACTTCTGAGCTCCTCTTCTAAAGAGTACGGGAACTCTGAGCCCCTTTACTAAAGAGTAGGGTACCTCTGGGCTCCTTTACTAAAGTGTATGGGGTCTGTGAGCTCCTATACTAAAGAGTTGATGACTTCTGAGCTCCTCTTCTAAAGAGTGGGGACCTCTGAACTCCTTTACTAAAGAGTAGAGAACCCCTGAGCTCCTCCACTAAAAAGTAGAGGACCTTCGTGCTTTAAATGTTTAATTTCTTCAAGCTCAAGTAATAAAATGTGGACGTCCTATAAGACCCTCTACTAAGGGAAGAACATCTCCGACCTGAAGGGTAGGGCTCTATGAGCTCCTCCATTAAAAAGAAAAGTTTCTCCGAACTTTTCACTTAAAATGATAGCCACTCCGAGCTTCTTCTCTGAATAGAAGAGAAACTCCAAACTACTCTTCTATAGAGTAAAAGACCTTCGAACCCTCCTCAGCCACTAAAAAGTAGAGATTTGTCACTAAAAAGTAGAGGGCGTTTTAGTCCCTCCGAATCTCCGAGCTTTTAATGTAGGGACAAAAGGACCTCCGTAATTCTCCATTAAAAAAGAGAAAATCTATGAACTATTCTACACCGCCAAGCTCTTTTTCTTGAAAATGGAGAACCTCGGGGGAACTATGAGCTAATGTACTGTTTTTTTTTTTTTTTTTCTGAATAAGACCTTAAGCTCTTCTGTCTTATCTGAGGTGTCATCTGAGTTCCCTTCCTATATGGTAGAGCATTTATAATATATTTTCTTTTGCGCCATGTGACTGCCGTCACCTCTATGATGCCTCTCATTTATTTCTAAATAGTGTCCATTTCCCTATGGTTTTAAATCTCTTAATTTCGTCCACACTGTTATTCCTTTGACATTTTTCTTTACTTTAATTTATCTTAATTTATCTTAAATATCAATTCTATTTTCTCCTTTTCTCATTTACAGAAACAAGCCATGCTGGTGCGTCAATTAGAAGAGGAGCTACGTGCTCGCATGCGTCAGCCCAACATCGAGATGCAGCAACAAATCGAGGCCGTCTATGCGGAAAATGATCATTTGCAACGTGAAATTAGCATTTTGCGAGAGACAATCAAGGATTTGGAGTGTCGTGTCGAAACACAAAAACAAACTTTGATTGCACGCGACGAAAGCATTAAAAAACTATTGGAAATGTTGCAGGCCAAGGGCATGGGTGAGTGTCGGAATGAAAATTAAATCTAGATAAACAACAACAGCAGCAATTGTTTATATGTGTATGTGAACAATTAACACGAACTCTGTGTGGCTGTGGGTGGGTGATTATCAGCGCCACCATGAGATGACATCTTGCTTTGTAAATAATTGGGGTTGTGGGTGTGTGTGTGTGTGTGTGTTTGATATCCATAGACGTTGTGTCACAGCTGCAGGTTAATGATGATGAGTTTAGAATTATTTGCCCTGGAAGTGGGGGAGCAAAAGATAAATATAATGAGGAAAGCTACTGGAATATCCAAAACATAATTTGCCACAAGAAAAGTTAACAATGTTTGCTCGTAAACTTGACAGACTTGTTAACAAATTCTTGACTTGCAAAGAGTTGTGACTGTAAAGAGTCAACTTTGTCAATTTGTGAAAAGTTTAATTAGAATTCCACCTCCACGGTGGGCAATGTACACAGATACATTTGAAGCTTAGAATTGGAATATTTTAAACGGGAAAGAAGTTTACTTAAGTACACACAGTAAAGACATTATCTATACAAGGTGGGATAAAAAAAAAACTACAACAAAGTGAAACGCCATAATTTTTACATTTTTTATACCCTACACCACAAGGTGGTCAGGGTATTATGTCTTTGTGCATTTGTTTGTAGCAGGCAGAAGGAAACGAGATAGACCCATAGTTCCTTTTGATGATCTGCATAGAATCACATTCTGAGTCGATTTATGCATGTCCGTCCGTCTGTCCATGTATTTTTGTAAACAAAGTTCAGGTCGCATTTATTGCCCGATCCAGATGAAATTTTGCAAAGATCTTTTGTTTGGCCCAAGGACGAACCCTATTGAAATTGGAGATGATCGGTCAAAATTTAGATATAGCTCCCATATATATCTTCGTCCGATTTGCCTTTTATTGTGCACCAAACGTGTAATATCAGCCCGAATTGTATGGAATTTTACATATACACCCAAAAAAGCTCCCATATATATTGTTCATCCGATTTGTTATTTTTGTCCACCGCCGCCGAAATATGCACTTGCATAGTGCAACAATATTTGGGGTAATATATCAAATACAGCTCAGAAATACATTTGCTAAATTTTATCGAGATCGGTTCCGATTTGGATATAGCTCCCATATATAACTTCGTCCGATTTACCTTTTATTGTGCACCAAACGTCTAATATTTGTCCAACTGGGATGGAATTTGGCACTTACGACCGAATTGAGTCTAGAAGCTAGTATGTCAAATTTGATGAAGATCGGTTCAGATATAGCTATAGCTTCCATATATATTATTCATCCGATTTGTTATATTTGTTACCCACAACCGTAATATGCACTCCGTAACAACGATATTCAGGGAAATATATCAAATACGGCTCAGAAATAACTTTGCCAAATTTTATCGAGATCGGTTCCGATTTGGATATAGCTCCCATATATATCTTTATCCGATTTAAAATTAATTGTGCACCAAATGGGCAATGCAATTCCGAATTTAAAAGATACAAATGCTTCGGCATATTTAGTCCTTTGAACTTTAAATTATAATTATAATTATAATTATAGCGTGTCTGATTGAATTCATCCATAAAAACTTTTAATTGTTATGTGGAGCTCTACTTAATTAGCAAAGTGGTGTAGGGTATCATAAAATCGGCCCCGCCCGACTTTAAGACTTTCATTACTAGTTTTAAATTTTATGAAATGAAAGCAAAAAATGGAAATGGCATCAAATTTTAGAAAAAGTTTAGATTTGTTCGAATTGGTCATCTTTGGCACGATTAATAAAACCGTCACACGCTGCCCGAATGTTGCTCCGCGGTATTTTGGCCCATTCCCGGCGAAACGCTTGCTTGAGGTGATCGACACTTTGGTATTTTTTAGTGCCAACCTTGCTTTCCAAACTACTCCAGACACAATAGTCCAACGGATTGGTATCCGGAGATTTTGGTGGCCATTGTGCGATGGAAATGAAGTGAGGAACCTCATTTGGTAACCATTCTTGGGTGGCGCGTGCTGAGTGCGATGGTGCTGAGTCCTGTTGGAATGTCCACGGTCTGCGGCCAAAATGTTTGCGTGTCCAAGGCTTTAATATATCCTCCAGAATATTTTCGGCTTTTGTTCTGATGTTTGACCAATACGAGCGGAGAGGGACCATCGGCTGTTAAGGGGGCCCACACCATCACAATGTCCAGCGGTTGAATTCTGGTGGTCAACCGAAGGTGCACATTTTCAGCTGACCTCTTTAGCAAGTAAACACGATCATTTTGTTTGTTTACAAACTGTTGGACAACGAATGTTTTCTCATCGGAGAAAAACTAATTCGGCAATTCACCAAGCGAAGCAACTCTTTAGCTCTTCTGAGTCTATTATCTTTTGGTTGCGGTGTACATTCTTGCACTTTTTGGAATTTCAATGGCATTACCCCGACCTCATTTTTAAATATTTGCAGAATGGAATACCGGCGATATGTTCAGCTCACGAGCCATTTTGCGGTCACTGCGACGCGGGTTTCGATCAAGTCGCTTCTTTACTTCTTGAACCATTTCTGCTGATATTGCTGTTTTCTTCCGTCCACTACGCTACCAGTATCACGGTAACGAGCGATGGCACGAGACAGAAAAGATTTATTCACATTTAAATGCTGGAGTGCTCTAACGATAGCCACACTATCACGCTTGAATTCCATCACGAATAATTTTTTTTTCTGGAAAATTTTCACCAAAATGCTTTTGTACGCTTGTAAACAATATAATGAGCTGTCACTGGAATAACTGTAACAGCTGTCGGACGAGTGGCTTGGAAATGACAGTTTTTTCATCTCACCCTACATGTGTTGAGGTATTATACTGTGATTGGGCCAACAATTTTGTAACACCTTGAAATATTGGTTCCCCACATAGAAACTCACATATGGATCTTCCTATCTCGCCGAGCTAAGTCCATCTAACTACGTATGTCCGTCCGTCTGTCCATGTTAATTTGTAATCAAGCTACAGGTCGCAATTAAGCTCCGATCCTCAATTGGCCAAAAAAAAAAATAATATTCTTTTTCTGATGTTACAATCGCTCTACCAGTCAGAATTGAAAACCAATCGACAAGGAATGGGGAGAGAGTTAAGGGCAGGGAAAAAGTCTTGCACTTTGGATGACCATTGGATTATATTTAGCTGTTAAATGGACCACGGCTTTCGTATGAATTATTTTTGAATACCTATCAACACCACGAGGGTCGTAAATATTGGACAAATGCCCCCGGTCAAAAACTAAGCGTAACATCTAAGGATAAACCTAAGGAAAAACTAAGGGTAATATCTAAGGATAACATCAAACTTTTAAAATTGGATTTTTTATTCACAAATTGACGATATTTCTGGCATGACTTTTTTTCTTAACCGCACTTCCTTTTAGTGATTTGGGACATCAGAAGTCGGGCATATCTTCTTTCCATAATTTTAATTATTTACATATAACCTAATTCCTTAATGGCAATTATAATAATGAACGATATTTTCCTTTTCTCCTTTTCATTTTTCTGCTCAACACTTTCATGCCGAACCACAACAACAACAACATTCATTGTGCCAAAAAAATTAAAATATGTCAACATAAAAACCTGTACCAACAAACCACTTGACCAGGTAAAGAAGAAGAACGTCAAATGTTCCAACAAATGCAAGCGATGGCCCAAAAACAGGTAATTATTTTTGAAACTATTTTTTACATTTTTTTATGTAACAAAAGACACAAAAAATATTATTTGTATTTGCTTTTCTTCTCTCTCATAACATAAGAAAAAATCTCAACAGAAAGTAAAATTAAAAGAAAAGAAATTAAAACTAAAAAGGAAAATTTTTATATTTTTCTGCAAAGGAAAAAAAACAAGAATAATAAGAAAAGAAAAATAATGAAAATTTTTAAAACAGAAAAATTAATTATTGCAAACAAAAACCTTTTTACATGAACAATGGAATTCGTAACAAAAAAAATAATTTTCATTATTTATTAAAGAAAAAGGTTTAGGTTTTTCATTTATTTTCTTGAGTTGAAATGCGATTTATTTTTGGTTGGTTTAAAAAGTAACAGAAAAATAATAACTTTCTTTCTTTACCATCCAAAGCCAACACGAGTTTGGCCTTGGTTCGCCCCTCCTAGACGCAAAAGAAATTTATAAAAAAAATATAATAATATATAACTTTTTTTGTTAAATTAAAATATTTTTTGGTTTTAAGTGTATTCTCACCACTTTACTCTAGCAGAATATTTGCATACCGACTTATGTATGTATGTATCACAGTTAGAAGTCTTTTATGAGTTCTTTCTTTGATTTCATTTCATTATAACTTTTTCCGTTCGTTGTTTCCATTTGTTTTGATTAGGAAAATCATCACATGCCAAGAAATTATAAATAACATTTTCATTTGGTTTTCCGCCGCCGCCGTCACCACCTTCACCACAAACAAAAAAACAACTAAAACAAAGCAGAAAGAAAAAACCGAAAAAAATAGTAAAATGAAAAACTTAGCAATTTCAGCATTACTTCATTATATATTTTTCTTTTGTGATTTTTTTTTTTGTTTTCATTATTTTCAAGATTAGTTTCATAAGAAAATTCGCCCAAGACAACACAACCACACTTCTCTAACCACCAACCATAACTCTTTACTGCTTAAACAACATTTCTTATTCTATCTTGGAAAACAGAATAAAAAAACACAAACTCAAAGTAGAGAATAGAAGGAAAACTTACAACACCCCTCTGAGAAAGTATCTTTGTCCAACCATCATCTCAACGTAGTCTACCTCAACTTCTTTAGATATCATTCGTCCTTATCTTTTGAACACGAAAAAAAAAAACGCAAAAGTAGAAGAGTTTTTATTTTTAAAATTGTGTTGTAGTTTCCCTTGCTTTCTCTCTGAAAATGATGTAAAATTGTTGACGATTAGTTCAAATTGTTTTTTTTTTTTTTTTTTTTTTGTTTTGATATTTTAGTTTTATTTTGTTTTGTAAACATCAGTGGCATAGCTAATGTAGGAGTCTGTGTAGGGATATTAAAATAATGAAAATAATCCATCTGAAATCCTGAATTCTTTGTAATTCAGTGGTTTAACTAAAACTCCTCCCCCCCACCTAGTAACTCATAACTACGCCTTTGTTTACCTCAACTCCTTATACTCTTTCCCACATCACCTTGAAGCTTCCTTTTTGCAGTTCACTTCATATAATTCATATAATTTTGAGGGTCAATCGCAAAAAATAAAGAGTGCTGTTCGTTTCATTGTAGTTCCATTTCCGTTGCTTTCTAATGCTCTCCATGATTTATGTATGTTTGAAATTTATGTCCATCATATTTTTTCCTTTTTTTGTGTTGTTTTTTTTTTTTTCTTATTTTTTTGGTTTCTTTTGGAGGTTCTTTTATGTTAACCTTGTTAAATTTTTTGCCATAGAAATAAAATAAATGTTTAGACTGAATTTCAAAATGTATTTTGTTGCTATAACATATATTTACTATATTCATATTTTCGAAAATTTCCAGTGATATTTTAATTTTATGTATTTAATCTCTACACTCATCTCAAAGGGTGTGCAAAAATGCCAACCATTTTAATGAATAATTTGAGTGTAATTTCTAAGAAGGTACAAAAGAACAAAGCAGCTTAGTTCGGCCGGGACGAATTTTTAATACCCTTCACAATTTTGTAGGAACTTGACAATTTTCCAAAAAAAAAAAAAAAAAAAAAAAATACCACCCCAAAAGAAGCCCTTTAAAGGGGCTTTACCTATACGTGGTCCTGTATAAGTAATTTTTGTCATAGGCTGTAGTACCCATTACGAACTTTAAATACGAAATCTGAAACAATTCCTATAACAAATTTCAGTAATATGATCAAAATACCGATTAAAGGGAGATGCCGTTATATGTGGGCTAAATGAAGAAGTGGACCTACAAGGCAATTTTCCGTCATAGGTTTGTAGTAACCATAACGTGCTTCAAATATGAAAAATATCCGGTGAATAATCAAATATCATCAATATTATCAAAATACCGAACATAGGGAGGTATCGTTATATGGGGTCTATACGACATGCATACATAATTAGTACCCATTACGAATTTGAAATTTGAAACAATTTCGGTAAATATGTTGTTAAAATCATCAAGATACCGAATATTGGGGGGTACCCTTGTTTGGGGGCTATATGATATCGTGGACTTATATAGACAGTTCTCTTCCAGGCGGTAAAGTACTCAGAAGAAAATCCTTGTGTAGAATTTCCCACAATTCCATTGAAAAATGTGGCTAAATTCAACAATACAGGCTATACGATATCGTGGGCTATATAGGTTAAAAAAACTGCAAACAACTTCAGACTGCTATCATTTCCAAACCACTCGTCCGACAGCTGTTAAAAGAATCCCAGTGACAGACATATTGTTTACAAGCGTACAAAAGCATTTTTGTGAGAATTTTCCACAATAAAGTTATTCGTGATGTGTCAAGCGTGATAGTGTGTTTTTTTTATATTTGCCTGGAAAACCACAAGTGGCTATTGTTAGAGCACTCCAGCATTTAAATGTGAATAAATCTTTTGTGTTTCGTACCATCGCTCGTTACCGTGATATTGGTAGCGTAGCCCGACGTCCAGGAAGTGGACGGAAGAAAACAGCAACATCAGCAGAAATGGTTCGAAAAGTAAAGAAGCAAATTGATCGAAACCCCGCGTCGCAGTGGCCGAAAAATGGCTCGCGACCTGAACATATCGCAATATTCCATTCGGCAAATATTGAAAAATTAGCTCGGGGTAAAGCAAGAACTTACACCGCAACAGAAAGAAAATAGACTAAAAAGCTAAAGAGTTGCTTCGCTTGGCCGAAAGTGGTGAACTGCCGAATTTGGTTTTCTCCGATGATAAAACATTCGTTGTTTAAAAGTTTGTAAACAAACGAAATGATCGTGTTTACTTGCCAAAGAGGTCAGCAGAACTCAAGCGCCGGCCATGGTGATGCTGTGGGCCGCCATAATAACCGATGGTCGCTCTCAGCTCGTATTAATCCACAGTGGCATCAGAAAAAATGCCGAATATTATCGCGAAAATATTCTGGAGGGTGTATTAAAGCCTTGGACACGCAAACATTTTGGCTGCAAACCTTGGACATTTCAACAGGAGTCAGCACTATCGCACTCAGCACGCGCCACCCAAGAATGCTTACAAAATGAGGTTCCTTGCTTCATTTCAAGCGCACAATGGCCATCAAAATCTCTATGTGTCTGGAGTATTTTGGGAAAGCAAGGTTGGCACTTAAAAATACCAAAGAGTCGATCACCTCAACTAAGCGTTTCGCCGGGAATGGGCCACAATTCCGCAGAGCCCTATTCGGGCAGCGTGTGACGGTTTTATTGGCCGTTTGAAGGCCATAATTGGTGACCAATTCGAACAAATCTAAACTTATTCTAGAATTTCATGCTATTTCCGACATTTTTTGCTTTCAGTAGAGCTTAAAAGTACTCAAAAGGAACTCCTTACGTAGATTGACAGATAATTTCATTTAAAAATTTGGCTACAACTATTAAAATAGCAAATATCAATGGAGGTACTGTTGTTATGGGGGAAAATGTAGACAGTACTCTTCTTGTGGGTGAAGTACTTAGAAGGAATATTTTAGGCAATCCCATTTAAAAATGTGACCAAAAACATTAAAATACAGAATATTGGGGGTACGATATCGATATCGATATGGCCCATCTTCGAAGTTGACCTGTCTGCAGACAATAGACTGATCTGTGCAAAATTTTAGCTTACTATCTTAATTTGTTTTGACCCTATAAAAACAACAGACAAAGGGACGGACTAAATCGTCTTAGAATTTTACGCTGATCAATTGTCTATATAGGTCAACGTTATCGTATAGCCCCTATTAAACGGTACCCCCGATATTCGGTATTTTGATGATTTTAACGACATTTTTAACGGAATTGTTTAAAATTTCATATTTGAAGCTCGTAATAGGTACCACAACCCATATTACAATGAAGAGAAGGTAGGCCAACTTTGAAAAAATTGCAGGTATAGAGGAATACCTGTTTGGCTTGTAATGTCAGAATTAGTATCAAAACAATAAAAAATCAAACAACTTGTTGCATTTATTTTGAATAAATAATTGAAAACCGCGATAACTGAATGAAAGGTCAACACTTCTTTTCAAAATCATGTACTATATATCTCTAAAGGATTATTTCGCTATAAAAACTGTAGATATTGTCGATGCATACGTCGAAATAAACATTTTGAAAACACCCGTATTTGAATATTTTCTGAGCATTTTTTTTTGTTGTTGAAAAGAAAACATATATATAAACAACTATAGTTGACATATTAAGCCAAGAAAATGAAAAAATTTAAATCATATGGTATCATAGCCCTACCTTGATTTTATTGTACCATGTCACAACCTATGACGGAAAATTTCCTATGTAGGTCTACGTCTTCATTTGGCCCGCATATAACGGCACCTTCCTTTATTATGTTATTACAGGAATTTGTTTTAACGAAATTGTTCCAAATTTTGTACTTAAAGTTCGTAATGAGTAATACAGCCTGTGACAAAATATTACTTATGCGAGGCCACATCTTCGTAAAGCCGCTATATATTATTGGAAAATTTTTCAGTTTCTTCGAAATAGTGACGGGTATTA